TGTGAAATACTTAGTCAAATGGCAAGCAACGAGGAAAATTTCGATGGGTCGAGAGAAATATTTCAAGCGAGGGTCAGCGATGTTTGAGTTGATTAAACTTCAGTGAAATATTTGATTTTTATTTGCCACACAAAATAAAAACACTCAATGCCCACGTGCAACTAGGTTAAACTCGAATTCGATGTAAAACGGCGATTTAATTCGGCAGCTCTCCTCGACGGGGATTAAATTTATTCGACGACGCTGTAAAGCTTGTAAAAATTTCCACGACGATGAGTTAAATTATTCGAAGGCGACGTAAATTTAATTCGACGATGATTCAAAGTTTTATTCCACGATGTTTTAAATTTTTATTCGACGGTGATCGCGACTTGGTAAAATTTGTACGACGATGGCTTTTATTTCCGTTGAAAAAACTGCGACTGTACGTGTAGACTCGACGACGGTTGAAAAGAGAAGAGAACCACCGATGCGTTTGCTGCTGGCTGTACTCGATCGCCGCTGGTGTGAAGGAGACGACGATGAGAGTGAAGGGTGAAAACAAAATGGCTGCGCTGTGGGGAATTTGTATTAGCTTTTCCCTGCCTCGTGCTTTTGAAATTCTCGCGACCTGACTTGGCTACCTAGAGGGCTTTCCTTTCGCTCTCTCTTTTTTTTTCCTTTTCTCTGCTCGTTTCGTTTTCTTGGCTCACGTGTGTTTCTTCACGTGGTTTTTCTTAGTCACGTGATCTAATAACCTCTCGTTTTAGGTTATGATCTTTTCACGGCTGGAGATATAAAATTTTCGCTGCGTGTGCCACGAGTTCATTAGAGTGGGTATACTTTTTGGTTAAGTTCTCCCGATTTTTGCCATGTGCCTTGAAAAAAATTTCAAAGTTTTTTTTTTTTTTTTTTTTTTTTCAACTTTGAGGTTATATACAATGCTCTGTATATATTCTGATCAAGATATATATATTTTCTGTGGGGTTTCCTGCCCTAGAAATTTCGGTGTCCCTCGACATCCGACTCTCCATACGTTCCGACTTAGAAAATTTTCTCTAAGTGGCGGAACCGAAAATTTTCCAAACTTGACGTATCCGAATGGGTCTTTAGGCCATATTTTCGACGTCTAAAGTTCGTAAACCCCATGTCCCTGCTCGGGCGCCATTCTGTAAGGAAGTTCGACGGCTGGGGTAAGTCTCAGTCACGTCCAAGGTCCTCTTTATCAGAAAAATTTATAAAGATGTGGGACAAAGTGTTTTGACGGGCGGCAAACTGACATGAGATGGTAGTGGTCAGTTACCGGGATACGCAGCCAGAAAAATGGCTGGAGCGCGTTTTGGGTCGGGCCCATAGCAGACGCCATAAGGAGACCGAGAGGGGGTCGATTATGGGGACCACCACTTCCTAGGGCAGAGTTTATGGCCTAAAATCTAGGCATTTTTTGGGAAAATGTTCTACGTGAGTCATGACCAGCATGATCTTGGGTCGTTCCCTGCGAGCTGGACTCGATCTGAGCTGAAGATTTTTGTTACGAGAGCTTTTCTTGAATTTATTTAATTTTCCCTCATTTTTAAATTCCTCTGCATTTATTTTCCCAGTGTGGGCAGCGTATGGCCTCTCGGAAGGGGGTGGGGCAGGAGTTATGCTCGCCACGAGAAAGCAAAAATATATTTAAATAAAATTTACTTGAATTTGCATAAGTCAAAGTTTGGAGTTTCATTTCTCTCCAGTGTAGGCGAAAATTCAGCCGTTCTCCGCCAAAACGATGCTGGAAATTTCCCCCTCACCGCAAACGCATGGCCATCACACAGCGCTAAATATCCGGAGAAATATTTAATTTAATTTGCCGGAATGCATTTTCCATGAAGATAAGGTCCACCCTTTTGCCGGGCTTTGACTTTGTAATAAAGTATTTCCTTATTAAATTCCCAACTGATTTTACTACGAGGAGAAACGGCGAGGAGCGAAATATTTTTTTAATTTATCAATTTCAGTGAGTTTTAGTAAAAGTTTGGGTCCACCCCCTTTTCCCTATGCATGTCTCGGTTGGCAAAAGCTTGGCGTAGGGTCAGGGAAAATGATATAGAGACGGCGGAGAGGGAGTTTTTATTTTTATATATATGTGTCGAAGTTTTTATTTGATCAGTTTCAGTTTTTCCATCTTTATTTAGTAATTTTAACTTTCGTTTGTTTTTAAATAAATTTTTAGTTTTCGGTTGTATTTAAATAAATTTTAGTTTTCGTTTGTATTTAAATAAAGTTTGCAGGGATTTTTAACAAAAAAAAAACAAGGTTAGATTTCGGGGCATTATTTCTAGCCTACTCTAGCGAAAACCGCATCTTGGCCGTCGAGAAATTTCTATTTACACATGTACCCGCTGGCCAAAATGCGATCATCCCTATACACTCACCTGTCTCCGGTTTTCCCGCACACACACACGTGCCTGTGGCTGCTGCTTCCGCCACGTCCTCGTCGTCCGCTTCCAAAAGAATCTGCCTCCTTGGCCGTCGAGAAAAATAAAACTCCTCTGCACTCCACTGGCTGCCGTCACGATCGCTCGGATCTTGGTATAAATTGTCACTGTCAATATCTGGGTTTACCCTCGTTGATCGCAAAAACTCCGTCGCGTGAAAAAAAACACTCCCCGTTTGGCTCCGTTGAAAAGAACTACGTCGTCCGCTCGCACGTCCTATCCGATTTCATCGCCTCCGCAAAAAGTAAAATCCAGCCACGCGGCTTTGCCAAATTTTCGGCCGCGCTGGTAATTTTCCATTGCTCTTGCATTTCGGTGCATCAGCTTCCCTCTCGCTCTCTCCCGTTGGCGCGTGCCAATTTTCGGGGGTTGCTTTGCGCTCGATCGTATGCTCGCTCTCCATTGCTCTCATACGGCGCTAACTCCGTGGCCACTTGTTCGTGGTGAATAGTTCTCTCTGCTCTCCGATGTAGTGTGTGTGTGTGTGTGTGTGCGGAATCTAGAGATGTGAGAACGGGGAACCAAAGATAACTACAACTCTTGTCTATGCTTAACTTTTGTACAGCTAATAAATGACTGTATTATGAATTGGCTGGTTAAATATACATGGCTTATTTTATACAGAAATGAGAAAAATGATTATATATACAAAGCTTATATTTACAGAGTGAGAAATGATTCTATACAAAGCTTATGTTTACTAAGTGAGAAGTGCTTAAAGTATTCTACAAAATTATTTACAAAAACTTAGTTTACAAAGCGAGAGTAATTTGGGCGTTTGCCGGTTTGTTTTGATTTTGCTGCTAGCTGCGGCGGCTCTCCATGAGCGTTGACGGCAGTTGTTATTGCCGTTGGCTATAGCTCTCCATGAGCGTTGGCGGCTGTTGTTATTGCCGTCGGCTGCTGTTGTTGTCGCTGCCGGCTCCTGACCGCCGTTGTTGTTGGCTTTGAGCTGCTGATGCGCGCTGCCGCTGTCGCTGTTGATGACGTAGCTGCGGTTGTTGTTTCTGGCTGCGGGCGCGAGCTCTTGTGTTCGCTGGTCGCGCTGGCCGTTGCTATTGCCGCTGCTGTTGGCCGTTGTTCTGGCCGTTGTTCTGGCCGGCGTTAATGACGTCACAGTTGATGACGTGGCGGCCGTCGTTGTTGTTGACTGCGAGCCGCGAGCTGTTGTTGTGGCCGCTGCTCGGGCCGGTGTTGAGGCCGCTGGCCGCTGTTGCTGACGTCGCTGTTGATGACGTGGCCGTTGTTCTGGCCGGTGTTGTTGACGTCGTTGCCGGCGCGGATGGCCGGTGTTAAGGCTGTTGTTGTTGCCGTCGTTGCTGGCGCGGGTGGCCGGTGTTAGGGCTGTTGTTGGTGCCGCCGCCAGTATTGGTGGGGGAGTCAGACGACTCCTACATCCTCCCCTTACTTCGGGGTGCGCTGCGAGACGGTGATCAGGTTTGTCTTGCTGAAATGGACCCTGAACTCCATGGTGCCCGCGTAGAACAGGAACTTCCTGTTCACCCGCCTGTTCGCGGCCTCCTGCGGTTGGACGCGCTCGACCACCGAGCGTGGGATCCGTCCTCCCGGGATCCGGATACGCCAGTGTCGTGGCGGCAGGACCCAGTCCTGATCGGCGGTGGGGAATTCCTCCTCCTTCTCCTCGGCTGCGGGGGTGGCAGGCGGACCCTTGATCGGCACCGGTGTAGGGCGGTTGCCCTGCTCAGCTTGCGCGAGGCGGGCCTTGGTGCGGCAGTCCTCGTCGTACTGCACCATCCGGGATCGGGTGGCAGCTCGCTCGCGCTGCACTTGGGCTTCGGCTTCGGCTTCAGGCCGCATATCACCCCGGACGCGGAGAATATGGTGCGTCGGGCAACGTCGGCCGCGTCGAAGTCCGACATGCTGCTGGCCCGCCTGTGTCTCCTGGTGACGGGGACCACGTCGTCGTCCTCCTGGCTGCCGTCGTCGTCGGCTGCGCCCCCGTTGCTGCCCTTGCTGCTAGGGCCTGTGGCGACTACGTCGTTGCTGTCGCTGCTCCCGTTCGGTCGACCGTGGCGGCACTCCTCGGGTGTCGGCGACCTCGGGGTCCCCACGGCCGACGCGAACACCACCCGGCGACGTGCGACTGGCACCCGGTTGGGCACCGCCGCGGCTGCGCCGGCGTGGCTAACTGCTCGCTGGAGATCGGGCGTGGTCTACGGCCCGCTAGGATCTCGTCCGCGTGCTCCAGCGCCTCGCTGAAGGCCTCCCAATCGATGTCCTCGGGCAGACTCCCGCCTGGGGTCCGGTCTTCCCGGGGCTCGGCCCTCCCTCGGCTGGATATCCCAGCACCACGTCTTCCGTGCGGGAGACTGCTACGGTGGCCGTGGCTGATATTGCCGCGCGCCACAAACGGCTCGGATTGTACGACGCCATTGTCTCTGTAGAGGGAAAAACAAAGGTTTATTAGCTCGTGGTTGTGATGATTACTAACTAAGGTTTTAAGGAAAGTTAGTAATAAGGGCAAAAGGTTCGCTGCGATGGCACTGGGAGCGTTCAGTTTCCACTATGGAAAGTGGGACGTTGGGAAGGCGCACCCTCCAGCAAGTGGCCCCACTGACTCAGTTGTTGGCTCCTGTATCAGTGTTCCTAGGTGGCTCTTGCCTCGGCCAGATCGAGCGTCGCTCGTCGGCTTTATTTGAGCAAGTTTATTTGCTGTTGTGCCGTCTTCATACGGACTTCCGGGGCTGCTGCTGCGTGGCTATCGCCGTGTGTTCTCCCGCCGTCTGCGGGTATCCTTGTCTTCTGCGTCTCTGCTGCTGCTGCTCCGCTGCTCAGGGGTTTAGCGCTCCTCGATCGCTAAACTTGCTCCGTAATCTGTGTGTCTTCTACGTGATCCAGTCGGCTGGGCACCAGATTCTGTGTTTCTGGCTCGTTGACTGCTTCCTTCAAGTCTCCAAGGGCTGCTGTTCGACGTTGCCGGCTGTGAAGATGCTGCAAGCGCACTATGGTGGGCGAAAAGAATTTGATTACTTTGTACGGACCTTCATATTTGGGAGCGAGCTTGGCGGCAAAGTTATCCGCCGCCTTAGACAGATGATGCTGCTTTACAAAGACCAGTGATCCTATGGTTGGCCTCCATGATCGTCGTCTGAGATCATAATTCTTGCGCTGTTCCAACGACGCCCGTTGAGTGTTCTCTCGAACCACCTTGAAAATATCCCGTAGCAATTCCGCCTTTGCTTCTGGTGAATGTGGCGCTTGGCTTGGCCCTGGAGTCACTTCATCATACAAGGCTCCTGGGAGTCGTGGCTCTCGGCCTTGAACGATGAACGCCGGACTAAATCCGGTTGAGTCTGAGACGCTGCTATTTATCGCCAGGTTCAATTCGGGCAGGAGTTCGTCCCAAGTCGTCTGCTTGTCCTCGATATACTGGGCGACCATTGTTTTAATGGTTCGATTGGCCCTCTCTGTCGGGTTCTGCTGCGGGGTATAGGGCGCTGTATATTGGATCTCCATCCCTGCCTGCTTACAAAAGGATTTAAACGAACGACTCGTAAACTGTGTCCCATTGTCACAGACAAAAGTGCGAGGAACTCCGAAGTGATTTAAAATCCTCTCCCTAAAGGATTTTTCGAGATGTGCTGAGGTGGCTTTTCTAAGTGGGACCAGCTCGACCCACTTCGAGAACGCGTCGAAAAACACGAGCAACATTGTATTCCCACCTTTTGATCGCGGAAGAGGCCCAATAAAATCGGCGCAGACAGTATCGAATGGCTCACTCACCTGCCTGGTGAACATTTTCCCCGCTGGCTTGGCTTGACTTACTTTGAACCGTTGACAAGTGTCGCACCTGCGAACATACCTGGAAATATCGCGAAAGAGGCCCGGCCAGTAGTATCTCTGGGCGATCCGGGCGGTTGTCTTCCTGATTCCGAGGTGTCCTGCCGTGGGCTGGTCATGGCATTCCGCCAGTACTCGCTGCCGGTGTTCCTTGGCCACACACAGTTTCCATGGCACGGAGTCTTCGTCGTCGGGTCGTGATCCGATGTGTCTATATAGCAGCTGGTTCTCGTACACGTAGTCCGGATAATCCTCAGGTCTGTCCTGAACAAGCTTCACCATCCGTTGGTACCATGTACTCTCCGGCTTATCCTCCTGGATCATCTGCAGTACTTCTAAAGGCTGTCGAGAAAGTGCGTCAGCGACGACGTTCTGGCTCCCGCGTCTATAGGTGACATCGAACTGATACTGCTGAAGCTCTAGCGCCCAGCGCGCTACACGGCCGGTGGGATTCTCAATCGAGTTGAGCCACTTCAGAGCGAGAGATGATCGGTTATCACCTCAAATCGATATCCTTCCAAGTAACATCTGAGCTTCCTGATGGCCCATATGATAGCCAGACACTCCTTTTCCGTGGCGGAATAGTTCTCCTCTGCAGCGATGAGGCGTCTGCTGGCGAATGCGATGACTCGTTCTTCCCCTTGGATTGTTTGTGTCAACACCGCTCCGAGGCCAATGTCGCTGGCGTCCGTTTGTAACACGAACTTCTCGTTGAAATCCGGGCAGGCAAGAACCGGTGCCTCCGTCAGTTTGCTCTTCAGGTCGTCGAACGCCTCCTGCTGCTCCTTCTCCCATTGCAACTTCTTGCCCTTCTTGAGCAGTAGAGACATGGGCTGTACGACGCTAGCAAAGTTTGGTACAAACCGCCGGTACCAAGACGCGATACCCAGACATCTCCTTAGCTCCTTGCACGTGGTCGGTGGACTCAGTTGCCGTACTGCTGAGATCTTCTCTCGGGGTCGGTGTGAATTCCCTCCTCGCTGATAACATGTCCCAAGTATACCAGGCTGCGCTTAAAGAAGCTGCACTTCTTTGCGTTGAGGCGAAGGTTCGCCTTCCGTAGCCGCCGGAATACTTCCTGCAGATGCTGTACATGCTCTTCCAGAGTGCGTCCGATGATGATGATATCATCTAAGTACGCAAACGCGTTGGGCTCCATGTCCGGTCCTATGACGCTGTCGAGCGCCCGCTGGAATGTGGCATCACTTTCCAGTGGTACAGACCCCTCCCGGGGACTGTAAAGGCAGTGCATTCGCGACTAGACTCGGCTACAGGAATTTGCCAATATCCGCTCTTCAGATCGAGCGTCGATATGTATTTGGCATGGCGCAGGCGTTCCAAGATGTGTTATCCTTGGCAGCGGGTATGCATCTGGAATGGAGTGAGCATTTAATTGCCGAAAATCCACGCAAAGTCGCATCTCGCCAGACTTCTTGCCCACGAGTACGATCGGGGCACTGTGGGGACTCCGTGAAGGCTCTATACAGTCGTTGCGCAGCAGCTCGTCTATCTGCTCATCAATAATCCTCTGCATCGCGGGATTCTTCGGAAAGTATCTCTGTTTGATGGGCTTGTCATCCCGCATCGTGATCGTGTGCTCCGCGATATTCGATACTCCTGTCAATCCGTCGAATTTAGCCAATTCCTCCTGTAGAAACTGGTTCACCCATGGCTCCAAGTCTGCGTGCTCCGTGTTTTCGGTGATGACAGCTAGCGCGCCTCCAGCGTCAGATCGAGGCTCTGGGATGGCTGGTGAAGGGGCTCGCCTTTCCGCTACGGGTTCCACTGTTGGCTCCACTGGCCTGGTGGCTTGTCTTCGTCGAAACGGATTGTTTCGCACGGCGTTGTCATCACGAGGCCCTAAAATGCTACTGGTCGGGGTATCTTGTGTCTCATGCTCTGTCTCGTTGTTGGCTGGCGTGGATTCTCCGGCTTCGATGGGGTCTGTTGTTTTCGGAGTGAACGCGTTTGTTAATACCGACGGCGTAGCTAAATTATAGGTGGGGCTGGTTAACAAGAAAGGACTTAGCTGCAGTGATGCGCGGCCACATTGAATAGTGGCAGATACGCCACAGAGGAAGTCCATGCCTAAGAGCACGTCTTCCATGATCGACGGCAGAACTAGCAGAGGAAAAGTTACCCTACGTTGGTCCAGCTGGACTTTGGCGACTAGAGACGTTGTGATCTCTTTGCGGGAGCCTTCAGCCAGGCTGACGTGAGTGCGTACCGACCGTACGTTAGGTGCTGTCCCTACGAGCTGAACCACTCGTTCACTCACAAAGCTCCTACTGGCTCCGGTATCTATAGTCGCGCTGAACTTCTGCCCCTCGATCTGCACCTGCGCGATGATCCGACTAGCCTGCACCTGTAATATCTCTCCTAATTCCGGGGATTCCTGAAGGCAGTCTCCGTCCGCTCCCCGAGTGGGCGAAGACTCCTCTCGTTTCCCGGCTGTGTGCGTCTGCAACACTCGACTGTGCTTATTCCCCGACGCCCACAATCCCAGCAGAAAAGGACTCTGGGGTTGCGGCACGTTGCCTGCTGATGGCCCTCTTGAGCACAATTCCTACAAGCAAACCTGAAATTTGTGATCGTTGCCAGATTCCCTACTCGAGGACCCTGTTGTGGGATCGTAGCTGGGATGGGTGGTCGCCCGGCTGTTCGCGAGAAATTTTGCTGCCCCGCTGGTGGCTCGTATCCGCTCCTCCTTGGCGCGGGTTGTGGTTCAGCTACCATCCTGGCATGGCTTCCAGTGCTCCGATCCCGGGTGACCTCGAAATTGACCGCCAAACTGGTAAGTTGATCCAACGTGGTAAAATCATGCCTCCTGGCGTACATCTGGTACTCCGGTTAGAGGTTCTCATAGATGCGCTCCAACTCCTGTTCCGCGTTGTATCCCGCTCGGTGCATCAACAGCCTGATGTTGACGAGATATTGCTTGAACGTCTCCCCTCGGCGCTGCTCCCTAGTGCGGATCTCGTCCTCGAGTCTCTGGAAATACCTCGGTGGCAAGAAGAAATCCAAAAACGCCCTTTTTGAACTTCGTCCATGATTCTCCTAGCAGTTGGCTCGTCCGGAACCAGTGCTCGGCCGTGTCCGTCAAAAGACCAGGGATGGCCTGTGGCATCTTCTCCACGTCGACTTCGTAGGCAGTTGCTCGCTCCTCGAGATGCTGGATGAAGGTGATGGGATCCGTGGTGCCATCGAAAGTAATTCCCCAGCTCTTGAGTTTTTCCGACAGTGTGGCCGCTGACATCTCCGCCTTCTTCGGAAGAATCTCTCGCCTGGCCGGGAGGGTCTCCACGTCTCTGGCTACGTCGGCGGTAGCTCTGCCCTCCAGTACTGGTACTTGCAGTTGCGCGGGACCCGGTGGGTGTGGGTGTGGGCTCGGCGATCGCTGTTTCCTATCCGCTAGAGTGGCGTTGATTTCCGCCTCACATTCCTGTAGTCGTTCGGTGACTTCCAGCACGTGATCATCTTGATTGTTGAAGGCAGCCAGCCGGCTCCGCATTTCCTCCACGGTTCCGGTTGCTTCCAAGGAAAACTCCTTCAAAATCGCCTCCAATTCCCGCTTCCGCAGATACGAGATCCACCGTGCGCCCATAATGCTGTGGAATAATTAGTCAAATGGCAAGCAACGAGAAAAATTTCGATGGGTCGAGAGAAATATCTCAAGCGAGGGTCAGCGATGTTTGAGTTGATTAAACTTCAGTGAAATATTTGATTTTTTTTTTATTTGCCACACAAAAAAAAATCACTCAATGCCCACGTGCAACTAGGTTAAACTCGAATTCGATGTAAAACGGCGATTTAATTCGGCAGCTCTCCTCGACGGGGATTAAATTTATTCGACGACGCTGTAAAGCTTGTAAAATTTCCACGACGATGAGTTAAATTATTCGATGGCGACGTAAATTTAATTCGACGATGATTCAAAGTTTTATTCCACGATGTTTTAAATTTTATTCGACGGTGATCGCGACTTGGTAAAATTTGTACGACGATGGCTTTTATTTCCGTTGAAAAAACTGCGACTGTGCGTGTAGATTCGACGACGGTTGAAAAGAGAAGAGACTCCACCGATGCGTTTGCTGCTGGCTGTACTCGATCGCTGCTGGTGTGAAGGAGACGACGATGAGAGTGAAGGGTGAAAACAAAATGGCTGCGCTGTGGGGAATTTGTATTAGCTTTTCCCTACCTCGTGCTTTTGAAATTCTCGCGACCTGACTTGGCTACCTAGAGGGCTTTTCGCTCTCTCTCTCTCTTTTCCCTTTCTCTGCTCGTTTCGTTTTCTTGGCTCACGTGTGTTTCTTCACGTGTGGGTTTTTTTTTTTTTCTTAGTCACGTGATCTGATAACCTCTCGTTTTAGGTTATGATCTTTTCGCGGCTGAGACATAAAATTTTCGCTGCGTGTGCCACGAGTTCATTAGAGTGGGTATACTTTTTGGTTAAGTTCTCCCGATTTTTGCCATGCGCCTTGAAAAAAATTTCAAAAGTTTTTTTTTTTTTTTTTTTTTCAACTTTGAGGTTATATACAATGCTCTGTATATATTCTGATCAAGATATATATATTTTCTGTAGTTTTTCCTGCCCTAGAAATTTCGGTGTCCCTCGACATCCGACTCTCCATACGTTCCGACTTAGAAAATTTTCTCTAAGTGGCGGAACCGAAAATTTTCCAAACTTGACGTATCCGAATGGGTCTTTAGGCCATATTTTCGACGTCTAAAGTTCGTAAACCCCATGTCCCTGCTCGGGCGCCATTCTGTAAGGAAGTTCGACGGCTGGGGTAAGTCTCAGTCACGTCCAAGGTCCTCTTTTATCAGAAAAATTTATAAAGATGTGGGACAAAAGTGTTTTGACGGACGGCAAACTGACATGAGATGGTAGTGGTCAGTTACCGGGATACGCAGCCAGAAAATGGCTGGAGCGCGTTTTGGGTCGGGCCCATAGCAGACGCTATAAGGAGACCGAGAGGGGGTCGATTATGGGGACCACCACTTCCTAGGGCAGAGTTTATGGCCTAAAATCTAGGCATTTTTGGGAAAATGTTCTACGTGAGTCATGACCAGCATGATCTTGGGTCGTTCCCTGCGAGCTGGACTCGATCTGAGCTGAAGATTTTATTTACGAGAGCTTTTCTTGAATTTATTTAATTTTCCCTCATTTTTAAATTCCTCTGCATTTATTTTCCCAGTGTGGGCAGCGTATTAAATTCCCAACTGATTTTACTACGAGGAGAAACGGCGAGGAGCGAAATATTTTTTTAATTTATCAATTTCAGTGAAGTTTTAGTAAAAGTTTGGGTCCACCCCTTTTTCCCTATGCATGTCTCGGTTGGCAAAAGCTTGGCGTAGGTCAGGGAAAATGATATAGAGACGGCTAGGGGAGTTTTTATTTTTTATATATATGTGTCCAAGTTTTATTTG